GATACATAAACATGCTGTATCCATTGTTTACAAACCCTTTAAATGTTAGATGAATTACACACAACATATCATGAGACTTTGCTCCAGTGGTAGTGAACAGATCAAGTCATACGTCTTTACCCTCAGCTTTGAACCGCTGCTCTAAAACCATAGATATTTTTGTAAGAGATAAAAATTCTCTGAGAGGTTCAGTGTAGCTTAAAACCTGTTGTTTGTATGGATGGAGATTTACATTAAATATGTTTCTTTCATGCATATTTAATGTATAGATCATATCTAAGGAGGCTCTGAGGAGGCTAAACGACAGGACAATTTTAACAGCTGCATACCTGTGACTCATTGAACTGTTTTTTAAAATTCACCACTATTAAGAGGGAAACTAAAACTCACAACAGGAATTGAGAATGCAAGAAAAAAAGTCTCTGTCACTACTGAAAATAATGAAAGTCGTTCTCATTTCAGTCTAATTAAATTTTATTTATATGGTGCCAAATCACAACAATAGTTTCCTTTATACTGTAAGGTAAAGACCCTATAATAATACAAAGAAAGCAGAGAAAAACCCTGATAATCATATGACCCCCACATGAGCAAGCACTGTGGCTCATGGAGGAGTGGCAATCTGCCTCAACCGGCTGGTGTGAGGGGACAAAAGATATGCCGTGGAAGAGAGCCAGAGATTAATAATAACTAATAACTAGAAAAATTTGCATTTCCTGCGAAAATGCTGTGTGGATGCCTTAACGCTGAAGATGTCTGCTGAAAAAAGCTGAAAAAGTTGAAAAAAAAAACAAAAAATTGCACTGAGCAGGATTCAAACCTGGCCCTTCTGGGTCAAGAGCGTCCTCACTGCGCCACAGTCATTCTCACAAAGAAAAGGTGGAGAGACTGACAATTCTGGTGAAATTAGCAGAAGCTGCTTAGAATTGTGCTGATAAGAGGTGAAAAGGCTAAACATTTGGCAGAAAAGAGGTGAATCAGAAGAATTTCTGCTGAAAAGAGGTAAAGAAGCAAATGAGCTGAAAAGAGTTCAATCAGCAGAATTTCTGCTCAAAAGAGTTTTTTCTGAAAACAGCTGAGATTTGTGCTAATAAGAGGTGAAAAGGCTGAAAATTTTCAGAAGAGGTGAATAAGCAGAATTTGGGCATAAAAGAGGTGAAAATTCTGCTGAAAAGAGTTATCAGAATTTCTGCTGAAAAGAGTTCTGAAAACAGCAGAAAACTGAAATCTGCTGAAAAGAGTTCAATCAGCAGAATTTTGCTGAAAAGAGTTTTTTTCTGAAAACAGCAGAAAAAACTGAAAATTTTGCTGAAAAGAGTTGAATAAGCAGAATTTCTGCTGAAAAGAGTTTTTTCTTAAAACAGCAGAAAAAACTGAAAATTTTGCTGAAAAGAGTTCAATCAGCAGAATTTCTGCTCAAAAGAGTTTTTTCTGAAAACAGCTGAGATTTGTGCTGATAAAAGGTGAAAAGGCTAAAAAATTTTCAGAAAAGAGGTGAATGAGCAGAATTCTGCTGAAAAGAGTTCAATCAGCAGAATTTCTGGAAAAGCTTAAAATTCTAATGAAAACAGCAGAAGAGGCTGAGATTTGTGCTGATAAGAGGTGAAAATGCTGAACCAATCAGAGGTACTGCTTCTGTCTGCTTCATCAGGCTGTGTACTTGTATGTATTTCTGCCACAGACTGTTAACAAGAATCTGAGGTCCATATTAGAAAAGCTGGTAAAATCATAAAACTTTGCAGAATTGTAATAAATTATCAATATGAATTACCGGTCTGTGATAGTGTATAAATTTGTAGTGAAAAAAAAAATAAGTTGAACAAGGTGGGATTGAACCCACGACCTTACAATCACCTACCAATTGAAAAATGAGAGGAGGACAGATTTCCACCCCTCAAACAAACGTAATTTATGGCTCAACGGTAAGATGACTGTAAAAACTGCTTCGACCTTGAGTGTCAGCACTGTCTGAAGATGAATTGGCACAAGCCTCATGTCTTAACTTTGCTTTGTTAAGGAGATATGACGATTTGAAAATGCCTCTCATTAGAGAGTTCCAGCTGTGATTTTGAACAAAGTCCCCATTCACTTTGTATGGAGAGTTTTCAGACATTGTGTTGCTCTGAGGCGATTTGATAAAAATCTGTAACTTCCACAACAGTGATAGTGACATTTTCTGAAAGCCAGCAAAAATACCTACGTTTTGATGTATAATTTGAGGAAGTTGAGTGGAAATTGAGCGAGTAGCAAGAAGTTGTTTGGACATGAAGAGAAAATTCGCAAAGTTTCACTGTCCACTCTGAGTTAATTGCATAGCAACCATAGCAACGCATGTATTTTGTGAAAAATCACAAAGCTGCAACTGAAAACTTAAAGAGGCATTAAATGAAAATGGTAACAGATATGAAAAAGCTGAATCACACAGGAATAGCCCAATCATTTGAGAACGTTTTAAAGTTTGAATGGAGTTTCTAGTTGAAAGTATGATTGTATAATTGTGTGGATGCCCTTGAGGGCATCCACACAATTAAATGCAGAGAGGTGTATAACACAGTGACTGAGAAAGGTGAGTGATAAAGAAACACTCAATGCATCATGGGAATTCCCCAGCAGCCAAGACCTATTGCAGCATGAGTGAGAGGATTTAGAGTGACCTGTACAGCCCTAACTGTCACGGCGGGGTGCGCCGGTGTGAGGAATGAGGTAGACCCAAGAGCAGACACGGTGGAGACAGAACTAGGTTTCCAAAATAAGGCAAGCCTTTATTGTGGCTGCAGGCATAACAAAAACACTAGGGGACACTGAAACTGGGAAAACTAAGAAGACAGAGAACACTGTGTAAACTAAAAAGGCTAAGACACTCTGTGAAGGAACTATGGAAAAAACTATAAACACAGAGTAACTAAGCAGGCTATGAAACACAGTGTCACAATAAGGAAAATACAAGGTGAGGATAACAGACGATCTGACACTGACACAAAGACACACTGGGCTTAAATACACTGAGGAAGTCATCAAGGAATTAGAGACAGAAGGGGAACACAGCTGGGAGGAATAAGACCTAATGAGACAGGGGAACAAAGCTAGAAACACTGACATAAGACGGGAACATGAACCTTCAGAGTAAAACAGGAAACAAGACACCACTAAACAAACACGCAGACACGACACAGAGAGATAGACTAGACACTGAACTAAACCTGCAATAAACATGAGAACACAAAAACCTACGAACTAATCCCTAAACAAGAATAACCGAAACATAGAGTCATAATCATCATTATCATCATAATAAGAAAAGAATCCAAAATGCAAAACACACCAAAGGCATAACTCAAAATACTGGGTCAAACTGACCCAGAACCGTGACAAAATAGTACTGTCCGAGGAACGTTTTAATGCCTAATCCAAGTAGAGAAATTGCCTGACTCCAAGCAATACAGGAGAAATCTGCTCTCTCTTTCTAGTCCCTGTCAGGACTCTTGCTGCAGCATTTTGGATCAGCTGAAGGCTTTTCAGGGAGTTTTTAGGACTTCCTGATAATAATGAATTACAGTCGTCCAGCCTGGAAGTAATAAATGCATGAACTAGTTTTTCAGCGTCACTCTGAGACAGGATATTTCTAATTTTAGAGATGTTGCACAAATGGAAGAAAGCAGTCTTACATATTTGTTTAATATGTGCATTGAAGAACATGTCCTGGTCACTTTAATTGGACAGCTGCTTCAGAGCACTCCAGCCTATTTTAAACGAATCCCCATCAACCACTTCTGTTATTCAGCTGTAGTGCTGTTTCTGTCTAAAGTTCAGTCTGTTTAAGAGTAATTTTATATTCTAATTTTTTATTTAAATTTCTCTTTTGGTTGTTCACCAATTTGGCCCACGCTGTAAGCTAGTACTACTGATACTACTACTAACAACAATAATGCACAACAGACCCGACCTCATGTTTGCACTTTTCAGCACTTGTTAACACTTTTTTTCGTTGCGGTTGCTGTTCACAGCAATACTCACATCTGCAGCTTTCCAGCTCCCAGCCGCCCATACACCACCAACAACAGCCAGGACCCAGTTCAGTCTGTTTTAAGCTGGCGAGGCGTGATTGCGGGTGCCGCTCAGGTGTGTCCTCGTCCCCCGCAGCCGCGCCACAGACCACGCCCCACCACAATACTACTACTACTACTATTACTACTAATAGTTGAGATGACTCCGGAGGGTGGAGCTGAAACACTAAAAGCTTTGGAGGTTGGTGTGACTGACAGAAAGCAGACCCATGGCTGAGGAGCGTTGCACCTGACACTGTGTATGGGTGCAGCAGGTCGGACAGATACTGATGGATTTGTAAATGATATGAAGAATTTTGTAAATTATTTATAATTTCAAACATTTCTTTGGGCAAAGTGTGCGGGAAACACTTCTGCTTCTGCTTATCTTTCACAATACAAGCTCTGGACATTAGACCATGTGACTTCTATACTCCTGGAGCAATATGTACAACTCTTGATATGATAATCATAAGATAATCAGATCCTATGTCCTGCATTAAATATGTAAACAGTTTTCTGCTTTTTTGTTAGGAATACCTCGTAATTGGTAATACCTGGTGTAAGCGCCAGACGTCTGCTTTATATTTTTATTTACGATTGAGTTCATGTTTGTTTTATAATTCATAGATTCATTACATAAGTCATCTTTTCAGGATTAATAAATGTGAAAATATATGTGTTTACATAAAGTACTTTTAAGTCAGTGTTTTGGGATTGGAACCTAAAAGGGGGTACCTCTCACTTTAAGTATGTAAGTGCTAGTAGCATGAAACCCTGTGTGAGAGGGAAGGGGAGGAGCATGGACAGAGAAGTTGGGAGTCTCGCTGGTGGTGTAATTGGGTGTGCGCAGGATAACACATATTGTGTTATAACACACACTTTGTTATCCTGCTAGAAACTCTATCAAAGACGCAGCACTCTTGTGTTGGTAATTTCAAAAAAGTCCTGTTTAAACTGAAGCAGCTGATTACTTTTGCGATTTTAAAGGCAGTGTTTCATTCGATTTGTTTCATTTTTTTGTTTTTTTTATGTTGTTGTTGTGCTGGTTGCACCTTTCCCTCTTTGTATTTTCCTGTTTGTCTAATATTTCCTCTGGCTCCTTACAATTAAAACATTATTTAGTCGTTATAATAAAGTGAAAAGATGTAACTTATTCAACAACTTAAAGATTTATTGAGTCGGAGTCACTGTTGTACATTTCAGAATCAAAGAGACAAACATGGTACGAATATACATTAAATTCACCTGTGAAAATGTTAAAATAGCACAAATAAATTAATGTTTGTGTTACATACTTTACAAAAATAAATATATATAGATGCAGATATATAAATGTGCATATGCTTAGTAATCACAACTTAAGCCTGAAGACAGGCTGAGGAATTAAATGCATTTATATTTTGTGATGAGAACGAGAGCTGTGCTGCTCCTTCTTCTTAATCCACACATGTTGTAACAGCACTAAACATGCAAAGTGCATCATGATGATTCTGGCACTGCAGCCGATGCTGTCGTTGTATAAGGGCTGACTGTGGTATTTTTCATCTGATTCCTGTGAAAACAACATATCAGAGAGATGAGGCTGGGTTGCAAAAAAAAAATCACAACTTTTAAAGCTTTAACAACAAAATCAACCAACTTTTTTGTCTTATTTACTTTCTGAATAAAAAAAGGATCTTGATTTGAACTATTACTCTAAAACCATCAGTATTTTTAATCATTGATGTGCAGAGCCTCGCACGATGCTCCAAAGTGACTGTTGATGTTCCTGTTTTAACTTCACTGACTTCCTGTCTAACATTTAACTCACATTAAGTTGAACACCAGTGAATGAAAGAAAAAACATCTGTGTGACTTACAGTTTTTCTAGCAGCATTATGGTGAATTTAGACTGAGGATCGAGACACCGTTCACTCCCATCCTTCAGTGTGACTCTGTAACATGTAAAGAAAGCTTTGATATAAAAACACTTTATAAACAATCCTTATTAATGACTGAGCTCTTATTAATAATGTGCTCCTGTCACTGTGGGCACTTACATGACTTCTCTCCTGTTGCAGTATTGACGAGGCTCATCCACCTTAACTTCAGTGATGGGACCTCTTACAAACTTACTGGTCTTCAAACACCGGCACCTTGGAATAACTGGAAAAGGTAGAAAGTGATAATTAAGGTTAAACTGCTGCAGTTTCATATTTTACTTAAACATAAATATATTTAGATTGATTCATTGTCACGATTTAGCTCCTCTCAAACTGCACAAATACACCGAGGTTTTCCATAATCTGATAAAACACACTTACTTAATGAAGTGCAAAGGGCCATGCAGGCCAGGAGAACGATGCACTGGATGGCAACACTTGTCTTCATCTTAAAGCTTTTCAAGTATTGAGTGGAGGATCTACTGAAGGCTCAGTCTTCAACTGGTTTGTTCTTCTCAGATATGAAGGATCTCTGCTGCTGTGCGTCTCCGTCACTTCTCGAGCTGCCTGAGTGTGCAGGGCTGTGAGGTTCATCATCTCTGAACTCCTTATATACACTCACAGCTACGTGGACTCTGGCCAAGGATGTCTTCCTAAGAAGTGGCTGAAAAAAATACTTTCCGATGTCTGTCCTTCCACAGTGGAAATCCTGCTGTCGCAATCCTTTGGCATTTAAACTTTCTACGTTCACTTACTCGCAAAGATTTCCTGTGCCACTGGTTGATGTTGAGACCTGCCTGCCTTCAGGTGTCGTTTGTATCTGTTGAAATTGATGTCACAGTTCACTTGTTTTGGACTCACTCCAATCACTCACATGTGAGTTTTGCTGATAAAGGATATTTTGTATCTCTGATCTACTTACAGAGTCTTTATATGATCAGTCTAATATTAATAATTTAGACAGCTCAAATTATGATATGATATGATTTGCCTAATATTTTACTGTTTCTGATGCACTCTGCTTAAAGTTTACTTACACTTCTCTTTATGATAAAAGTGTTTGAACACTTTCCAATAAATAAAATAAATAAATAAAATGATAAAAAGAAAGAAAATGGGAAGTTCCTTTAAACACAGCTGAAAAGATCCTTTTCTATTCATTGTTTGCAGATGTGCATGTATATCATTGCATTTAGTAAATGCAGTAAATCTGTAAGGGTGTGGGAATGCAAGAAAAAACGTGTCCATCACTTTTAAAAATACTGAAATTCTCAGATTAATAAGGTCACCAATCACAGCAGACACTTTCTTCTCCACTCCTTCAACGTGCTTCCACTGGACAGGTATATTCAGGTATTTTGACAGATACCTTGCATGAAGACATGTAGCGTATTTGGACGCCTCTGAAATGTATGAAATAGTAGCAATAGCAATGTAGTAAAGGGACTGGTGCTGGTGTGCGTGCTTATTACAACTCAGTCTTTTTTTTGTGAAGAGGGGAGCGAGTTCAGCCTCTTGTCAGTCTGGTGGGTGAGGCTGTTTCTCCTTCAGTTTCCTGCCCTCAGCGAGAAAACACCAGACGATGTTGTGTGAATGATATGGGAAGTCAGTCACAGTCAGCTAGTCCCTGGGCTAGATGGGTTTTAGATCTAATCTTATTCTTGTGATGAAATCAGTGTGAGTCATGCTCAATTCCAGCACTTGCAGACATTAGCAGCTACACTGGAAATAATAACAAGTCCCTATGTGTTTGTCTTATCCGTCTACTGTGTTGTGACAGACATCAGCATTACTGTGGTGAATATCAGTTTTGCACATTTGGATTTGCGTATTACGCACCAGTCTACCGTTGTTTACAGCGCAGTCTGCTGCTGTTGTTTTTAAATGACTTCCTACAAGAAAATCTAATTTCTGCTGTTCAGTACCAGAGAAGTGTAAACTTTTTAAAATTCTGAGAAATTGCAAAACTCTTGGCTGTGTCTCTAATAAAACCTCTGTAACTTTGCTCTGCTTCACTTCGGCAGCATCCGGTAATGTTCATATGTTGGTTCATGGTTTTCTTCTGTTTTTGATACTGCAGAGTATTTTTCAAGGTTAACTGCTATAAAAAGACAAGCCAAGAAATTTCCTTCATGTTTTTCTGTGTTTCATCCTCTGTTACTTTGACAGAATGGCATTTGCTGTGATGTTTACACCTCTGATGAAGTCTCACAACTGTCAGTACTGATAAATGAAGAATTACAACATTTCTGTCTGAATCAAAATTGAATCGTAATGGAATCGGTTCTAGAAATCCCAGCCCAATTGGTTATGCTGCAAGAGGTCTAGGCTGCTGGGTGCTTTCTATGATGCACTGAGTGCTACTTCTTCACTTTTTATTGTATTTAGTCACTAGTTATTATTAGTCTGTGGCTCTCTTTCACAGCGTGTCTTTGTCCTGTCTTCCTCCTCTGAGCCTGCTTCTGTCAGAGGTTTCTTTCTGTTAAAAGGGAGTTTTTCCTTCCCACTGTCACCAAGTACTTGCTCATAGGTGGTTATCTGATTTTTGGAGTTTTCTCTTTACCCTTACATTACAATATAAAGCACTTTGTTGCCAATGTTTTTGGTGCTTGCTGGTAAATAAAATTGAATTGAATAAATTTTCTAGTATTTTATTAATTTGTCACTGGGCACTAACTAGCCTAAATATGTATCCTTTCAGTGTAACTCTGCAGCTGAGAAACGCAGCTTTTTACTTCAGTAGCCTATATCAACATATTTGCATGTGACCCTCGAGGATGGTGCTGGAAAGTATCCAAGTAGAGCTTCCAGTTAAAGTTCAGCATCTGTGCAACATTTTCAGAACCAAATATCCAGATGTCGACATTTACTTCAGGAGATTTTCACCACAAAGTGATCGTTTAAATGGTTTTAGTGATGTCTTTACCGTACATGTGATGACCACTGGTTTTCTAGATTTCTATTTTCTGTCTATTGCTAACTAAAATATATTTTGGGTGAAATATAATCTTAATAAAATGTATCAACACATAACTGATTGGAGAGTTTGTATTTTAGATTTAAACCTTGACCGAGGGTCCCCCTGTAAAGGTCTCATTCACTCCTGGCAGAAACCCACGACAGGCTCAGCTCCCAGTTCCCAAACCTCAGATAACTTTTTCACATCTGGAGTTTGGAAATGTGTTATTATTATTATTATTATTCCCATGTTCAACTACTTACAGGAAGCAGTGACTTAACACAAAATCAAGGCTAATAAATTTAGTCTTGGCACAAAACAGTTTTCACCAGCTAAATGTGAAAGAGTGATGTTTTATCCCCTCACTTCTTACAAGATGAATGGTTATGTCTTCAGAACCCGACACACCTTTTCATGCAGGATTCAGATTCAGTGATCTCGAGTTCATGATGAAGCTGTTTGAGTCACACATGTGTATCATGTTCTTGCATCGTGTTTAAGCTAAATTTTTAAAGCAAACTGCAAAATTATCATGGTAAACAGTTCACAGTGTTGACACTGAACACTGACGATCAAGCCTCATTTTTAGAGAGCAAAATGTTCTTAAAATCTCAGAATTGGTTGTTTTAGATATGAAAGAGGAGATTGTGTCACAATGTGCAAGGTTAAGGACCCAGATACTGGACTCAAAGGCAAGAAAGTGAAGCAAACAGAAAACAACCTTTATTTCAGTCACTGAGAATCCAAAAATGTACACGTTATGAAAATAATCCAGAACAGACCAACGATGAAATGAAATAAAACACAAAACACAAAACACAAAGGCTGCACTCGAGGGAAGGAAAACAGAGGGGTGAACTATGAAGCGAGCTCAAGTGGATCTCTCATATCAGCTGGTTTGGAGAGCTTTGGTTTAAAATCAGCTGGAGGAGCCACTCTTGATGATAAGTGCATTAAAAAAAGATTAAAAAATCCCAAATACTTAAACATGTATCCAGTCCAACAGCTGAACAATGTTCACTGTTTACTGTTTCCATGTCCATCCCTTTATGACCACAGTGTACACATCTTCTGATGGCTACTTCCTGCAGTATAATGAACCATATCTCACAACTCAAGCTGGTGTCCTGAACATGACAGTGAGATGACTGCATGTAAATGACCTCCAGAGTCACCAGATTTCAGTCCCATCAACCACGGTGGGATGTGGTGGACAAATCTGCACCGGATCTCGGCTGCTGCTTCTTCTCATTGAATGATGTCTGGTTTCTTTTGTGTAACAGTAATAAACATGCAAAGTGCATCATAATGAGTTTGACACTGTGGCTGATGATGTGGTTGTTTGGGGGCTGACGGTCGTCTTATGCTGACTTTTCTTCTGCCTCCTGTGAAGACAACAAATCACAGACGTGAGACCTTGAAGCTCCAGTGATAGTGAACAGATTCATAACTCATAACACTCAAGCAGTGATTTCTCTCTTAACTTCTTCACCTTCTAAATTATGAGAATGACGATCCTGAATTTTAC